CATCTCAGACTAGGCGACTCCAGTAACTTAATCTGCGGTTTTACTAGGAGATCAAAAGCAGACTCCGGAACAAACAGGCTTGGCCGAGGGCCAGTTGAGTTCCGAATCGCAGTTCGGATATCCTGGTTATCGAGATTCGAGGTTGAATCAATACAAGCAAGTGCGTGGCCAAAGACATCGTTGAAGATGTAATATATGCGCGCTCCACCCGAGAGCTCCTTGGTCGAGATGTCGACCTTGGTACCTTCTATCGATGCAACAAAATCATGTGCGAACTTATTCATCAGCCGTAAGATGAGTCCGCCTTGCTGTATGGCGCTGAGTTCATGGACCACATATCTCAATAGATGACCTACCTGGTTCTTGTCCCCGTAGATGGCAGCGTCACCAAAAGAATTCAGTTCTTGCTGTGCTTGTCCCATGAGCGTATTCAGGCGAGCTTTCATGTCCGGCAGCTTATCGCGTATGTGATTCATCAGCACCTGGTTCAGGGTTCTAGCAAGATACTTGGTGCCATTCTTGTGCGCGATGTTTCGGTATACAGCATGACTGCGGAAGAATTCGGCCTCTGAATCTAGAGCGTCGGGCAAACTCTTCTCTGAGTTGATGTCCTGCTGACTTCGATTCACAACACCAATGAAGCCCAGCTTCAGCGGATAGACGCGCCCTGTAAGGATATCGAGCGCGTTGGTACCTGCGTCCATCAAGTCCAGCTTTGTCAGTACCCCAATCGTTCGACGTCCTTGCGGATCAACAGAGCGAGCCAACTTTAATGCGTCGGAGTTGGCAAGGTCAACATTAGCAGCGGAAACAGCTAATATGACGCTGAAGACAATAAGGCGGTTGCATCAACAACGAGAAATAATAGCCAACCTATTAGGTTTTGAGATATACTCGACAACGAGGCTGCGTATTTGCTTCTCAATATCACTCGGCTGGTCTCCGACTGGAATCTACAAAGGTCAGGAGCACATACAATGATATTGGCATCGACATACTTTAGTCAAGCCAGGTAAGTCCACCAGTGTGAGGTCCAGGACATCAGGGCTGTATATTTTGAGCGAAATGGGCAATTTGCTGATGCCCTTATTCTGTCCAGCGACTCGAAACGTCTCCTGCTCTATCTCCTTCCGTATTTCATTGTAGTCCGTAAACCGCTTGTCAATATGCAAGAATTGTCCCCATTCCGTATACGTAGGGGCTGCTGGATCGGGCGAAGGGGTGTGGATAAGTTGGAGGACAAGTGGGCGACGGGTGACAATTCCCTGTCCACGCGGAAGGAAGTCGCGACCAACGATGCTAATAAAGGCACAATGAATAATATTTCAGATGCGATAATTGCCACATACTTTTCAAGTACACTTGATTTGCCCGCAGACTGACTGCCGACCTACCAAAGAATTTCTGAGTAATGCTTTCGGTAGTATACGATCATTAACGTGCACGCACCACGACTAGCTGTGGCATATCCAGTTCGCCGCCTGCCCCTCGACCAAGTCAACACAAACCCTAATCGCATAGTCTTTCGCGGGAACTCACCGAGGTTGCTGAATGTATCTTGCAACCTGTTGACGAGCTTAATGAGGTCTGAATCCATGACGGCTGTTTCCTCCCTGCGTTCAAGGTCGTGAATGAAAGGTCGTGAATGAAGAAGCTGACGAGCAGCAGCACAAAGAATTATGGTTGTACGTGCCGAGGCACGTGAGGTCTTGAGGCGCGTCGTCACGGCCATTTCCTATTTGGCCGCGTTTGGCTTTATGGCACTTACTGGACGCAGGTAGCATCCGTTAAAACTCAAGTTAATGAACTTTTTCAAGATTCCAGTTTGTGAAATGACCGCACGAATAAATTGTACTCGTAGGATGATAGAAGTTGGCTGTATAGAAAAACTACCCTACTCTATCATGAATGACCTAGCCACAATCAATTATTGATCACCAGGTATGCATCTAGATTGCTTTGCTTTTCACGAGTTCTGAGAAAATAAGATTTAAAACTCAAAGATGAATGGGCAATGACAGATTGATACTCACGCTCAACCTCTGCTACTGCACTGGTCAGGATATCTTTTTGCACCTTCTCGTCCTGGAGGTCAGCCATAACCTTAGCAATCACGCTCTTGGCGAGCTCAAGCTGTTCGCTCTCTTTCTGTTGCTGCTCATAACGAACCCAGCTGTCGAGAACAGATTTCACCTCGGAAGCAAGAGCGACCTTCTGTTTCTGGACAAATGCATCTGCCTCCAGCTGAGCGGTTTCCTACTCACGAAAAGAATTACTAAGTGGCCATCAATCCAACAGGTAACTGTCCTCACCTTCGAGAGAGCAAAGAGACCCTGGGTCAGTGAAACAACATCCTTCATTTGCTCGACGGAGTTGATACGGTCCTTCACTGCCTGAGTGTGTTCTGTTCGCGAGCTTTCCAAAATGTTCTTAATGCGTTCAATGTGACCGTTTGCCCAGTCACGGTATGGTTCCCGAACAAGCTAGGCGAAAACAGGTATATGGGAATTGCTGAAAGCACCATGGTGATAAACGTACCTTGGCAATGTAGGCAAGAAGAATGAAAGTGCCGGCAGCAACAACGGTCTCCTCGTTCACAACATAGAGCTCCTGGGAGATAGCAGTTGCAACAAGACCGGTGCCGAGGATTGCAGAACCAGTCTTGGTGATTAGACTCGGCGAGGAAGGAAGGGTATTTAGAATTTCTGCTGCGCGCTGCTCAGGTGGGGGATTCGAGCTCATTGCGCGCCTGCGTGGGTATTGTTAAATAAACATGTTTCTTTGGAGACCAATATCGAACGTACGCATTGACAGCCCGGGCAAAGCTAGGGAGGGCGCGTGGCCGAGCTACAGAAATTTCAGCTTAACATAACATGTGGAATTTCCTAAAAACTGACCAGAAGCCTTGAGCGTATTGACCGCGATCCTGGACGCCATTTGTGGTACAGATTGAACTACAGAGGACGTCGGGTTCCGAAGTCTGGATGAAGAGGATGGGAGACCGTGGGAAATAAAATATTCCGACTTGACACGATACCTTCATGCATGAGGCGTTACCAGTAGCCGCCTCTATGGTGGGCTGCAAGGCTATGCCTGGCGTAGCACACTGTTCTCGCATGTGAGTAATGCGACCCTATTTTATTACTGTTCAGCAGTGCACAGTGAAGACTATCGGATATCAACTGGGTCTGGACCACAGCACGAGCGGGAGTGATCGAGAGGCGTTAATCATTTCAAGTCGGCCCATTGTTCATAGACAGGCTGGGAGAATATGTTGGTGCGGCGAATGATCGTATCATGCAGCATATAAGGTTGGATTGTATCTCCTCCGATTTGATCGAGTGGTGCTTATCTACTTGAACTTTGCGACCCCGATAATCAGGTAGTCCGTGGTGCACATTGTACATCATCCAGGACGATGAGACCAGCGCTCACTCTGCTATCTTGTCGGTGCATGTGTTTCGTATTCTCACGTATCTGGTTTCTGGAAACACAAGCTTTGATCTCATTATATGTTTCAAGTGGCGGCCTTTCAATCATGTGCATTGCCACGTGAATATTAATTCGAACTGGCATGTTATATCTGAATTTGATCCATCTTCCTTCTCTTTGAGAGAGGCATGGGACTGCTGGTAGATAACGCTGAATGTGAGTACACCGTGGTGTTTACAGTTGCGGAGTATAAAGTCGAAGATTGACACTGACAGTCCTCCTTGGGAATCCGGTTGGATAGGCTCTAGTGTTCTACATGTCGCTTCTATGAACTGTCATCTTTTTTCGTCTTCAGTGGGTATTATCATAACATGCTTGCCTTGCTCTATCCCCTTATCTCCCTTTGTCCTGAAGTCATCTCCGAAGGTCATGTTTCCATTCTTTTAATGGGTTGCTCCATATCAGAGAAAGTGTTGTGCTCTAATTGGGACCATCTTTCTGCAAAGACTTTCCATTCTATTTCCATGTGCCGTTTGATACGGAAGATTCTCTGTTTGGCCTGAGAAGCATACATGGAGCTAATTTCTGGCTGGGCGTATTAAAGATTGTTAGCCAATTGGCACACATGAAACGGTTCTTTGTGCCATGCTTGACAAAGCGCCTCTCGAAAATGGTATGTTAACAAGCACTGCTCACTGAAACTGACGCCCTTTCCTTCTGGCAGAATACTATAATGTTTTCCGAGAAGCAAAGTCTAGACAAAGATCCTTGGTCAGACTCTCTGAGAAGCATGCCGGCCGGCGTCATTGCGTGTAAGTTAGAGTTCAAGAATGTATCCGTCAATGACTCCCGTGGGGTACATTTCATAGAGAACGTGTACTCACTTCAAACCTTACTACTAAGTTCGTCAATCTTTTGTGTCCGCGGGGGATAATCTAACCATAACTATGTGGCGTCCTGTCAATTTTTTGCCACAGCACGTCCCTGTAGCTTTCGCCGCTAGTACGGAGGGACTGCCGGTGAAACTCGATGGGAGGATCACTGCTTGGCCTGGAATGGATCATGTAAAAGTGGCTCGTATCGCTTCTAGAGTACCTCCATATATCGATTTTTCCTGTAGTTGTCCAGTATGACTTATTGAAGCTTCCGACAAACTGATGAAGACGGCAGTCGGGACTTTTGTACAAAAATATGGTCCGAGATGCGAGGCAAACCCAGTGGTGAGAAATCGCTACCACCGTGTACACACCTACTATTCGGCACACTTCTGGGTGCTCACACAGCGGGGAAACTGACATTTTACCACCTTTTGCCGCCAGTAAAATTATATTTGAAAGGTAATCCAGAGTGCTCTGGAACGCTCTAGGCTAGGTCTGGAATGTCCAGATCTGCTTTTGATTGAAATCTTGCAAGAGGTAAAACGTTGAAACCCCCGATGTGTCAGAATACTTTGAATGCTATATTTGATGACGAAGTTATCGGTACGCTATCGGACAGCGCACACAATATATAGATGCAGTCAACAACACAGCCAAAACGTTGAAACCCCCGATGTGTCAGAATACTTTGAATGTTATATTTGATGACGAAGTTATCGGTACGCTAACGGACAGCGCATACAATATATAGATGCAGTCAACAACACAGCCATGTCACAATCCACATCAGAAATTTGCCAAATGTACATTATTAACACGCATTTAAGGTATCATTGCTACGGTATTGACGGTGCAGTTTGCTCCGCATGCGGTTTATAGTACTGTCATGACGAGAGTATGTTTGCAACAGTTTCGTATACTGCAAATGTAGCCATATTGACTGGGATGGCCCTGGAATGAGAACAATCACCGATAAGAATTTGTGTGCAGCGTACTGAGAACAACTTACCGCAGCATGGTCGGGCTGAGCCCGCGAAAGAAGACTCTAGCCCCACCTGTGCGATATGAATGCTGGATCGTTGATAAGATTGTGCGGTATGGGTTATCGCCTGTAGTCACTTCCGACCGCATTGTGTTTCGAGAAATCTCGGTACTCTGCATGCGCGTCTTCACAACGTCCATAGGAAATGTCGGAAGCCAACCAAGGACACCTGCCACTCCTCCACTGACAAACAACACCCAAAGGGGTATGGATCCCTGGCTTGAGTCTGACAGTGAGGTGGAACCATCAAGTCTAGGAGAAGGAGCAGTGAGGTATCTACTTGTAGCCTCATACTTCCCAGTGGACGTCAAACCATGGTAAAGGGGCTGTGAGGGCTCTTACCCCCAAAAAGTATGCACCATATCCGCAATCGCGAAGGGCTGTAGCGGTGAGACCACGAAATAATCCCTTGAGACCGTGTTCCCGATGGATACTGTATATAAGTTTGCTGACCGAGACGCTTCCAAGTCCGCTCTCTAACATGCTTTGCTGCCTGATCTTAATAAGTTCGATGGGTGCAGAAAAAAATCTGATGCGTCCATTTGGTTAGTCGCCTGCCAATTACACCTGCAATGGTAGGTAAAGCTCTTACGACATGGCGAAGCCACAGCAGGTGCCAGCAATTGCAACTTCGGTGAGCGATGGAATAGAATCATCCACCTTTTGCGCCTTAAGGAAAAACTTGTAGGATGCGAATACGAGGCCGTTCGTAAACGCACATGTTGCCTTTATTCGTCGGGTAAGCTAGGATCATAGCATTTGTGCGAAAAAAAAACCAGAGGTGAAGCAATGCCCTTGTACAAGCCACTGAAGCGCTCCTCTCTGATGATGGTCGCGAACGCATGGGATACTGAATGGTATCTGGAGGATAGATCAGGATTTTGTAGGCGGACTTTGACTATTTCACAGTCAGGTAATGTCACGGCGCTACGGAATACATGCCAAAACATACCTGTATCAAACGGATGAGCAATGAGAAGGCCGACAATTCCTGGAAAGCTCAAGTTATCAAAACCGATAACCATTCAAGTTCATGGCTGTAAATTTTCTACCTGCTGCTGTGCCTGCTATGAAGTCAGTCGTGGGATCAAGGTCTACTGTTGCCAGCGTGAGCAGGAATTGTATCGATATCAATACGGGGCTCACAGCACCTGGCATATCAACGCGTTTGAGCAACCACAATGTTGCAACTTGCAAGGCTTCCGGAACGAGCTATCTCGGCCGCGAAGGGGTAACTCGGATCAATATAGTTGCCGTAAGCATAGATCTAAATTTTAGACTTGGTCTCGGCTAACTCGTTTATCTCGACTCCCACGGTGTCGAACGTCCCATTAACATGTGCGAGCGTTCTGAACGTTGAAGTGACTCGAGTGACTGTCGTCTCGCCCATCCTGGATTCGCAAATGCCCGATATCGAGTTTCGTGATGTACTTGACTGTTGTATCTGACGAGTCGAGTTTACCCATCCAGATTTCTGATCCATCCAGCTCTTGCAGTGGGACCCGATGATGAATTGTTGGAAAGGGAATCAGGGACTTGGCGCGTGAGTGTCCTCTATAATTAGAGTCTTTGCTGTTTGACTTGATTTGCTACCAGTCATGGTCATCGTGACTCCTGAGTTTCTCACCGAACTACAGTCTTTGTATCATGCACCTGCCAGCAAAATATGTCGATGGTGACTGGTTTCTCGCTGTCAGTATAACTTTCAGCTTGGGAAACTGTCCCGCAGCCATCCTATATATTCTCCGTTATGTTCTCGACGATATCGACAAGTTCCCTGATACCTCGGATGAAGATTGCAGATTGCTCGTGCGGAAGATAAGGGATGATATATTTAAGTCTGCCTTCATCTTGATCTGGTTATCCAACAAAGCCTGAGTGACTACGGCGCCTAAGCTACGGTGCTATTCGGCTGCCGCCCTCGCCGGGTCTCCTACTCCAATAGTATTGCATTTGATGACTATCCTCTTTCAGCCTTCTAAACTTCTACTAGTGCACATATGCCGTGGGCCCCATTGGAACAAGGTAACTAGCTACAAGTTGCAAGAGTCTTGTTTTTTTTCCATCGGTCAGAGGTTAGTTCAACGTTGTCATGAGAATCTTCAATCCGCTCAGATGGCATCCAAGTTCAAACAGTTTTACCAGTCCGTCTATTGACGGCTTGCTTCATAAACGGGCTGGTCGCGAGTCCAATATTTGAGGACTCGTATCACCGTAGTGAATCAGGTGTCGGCCCGCACTCCTAACTGGAGGTCCTATCATCATCATAAGATGCCATATTGGACACCGAATCGGACACGCACCGTTCAATATCAGACCAATTCAAACGCACGTTCTATGTCGATTGGATATCTAATTTCCGTTCCTACTATCTTATTCCATCCCACTTGATATCGTGATAATGGAGAGTTTCATCACGAGTGCCAACTATGCCGCTGGCGTCTTCGTAGCCGCAGTCGTGGTGTTACTCGTTATGCTTTACAAGGCATCCCCCTTGGTAGGTAGGAGGGGCATCTCGCTTCCTCCAGGGCCTCCCGGTTGTTGGTTATGGTGCAACGCTTTGCCTACTGTGAAGTAAGTTTCTATCCGAGATATCAGAAGCTAATACGGATCGTCCGCTTAGCATTTGCCATGCGCTGACCGACTTGACTCGAGAATATGGGCCAATCGTGTCGTTCCGACAATCGACCTCGGTTGATTGCTGCAGGTGAGATACTTTCAAATGGAATGCGTCTATCCCTGGCTCGTTCCGGAAATCGATTCCGGTGCCTCCGAAAAGCAGTACACACCCATTTGCAGCCCAAAGCGGCAGAGATATACCAAGATATGCAGCGCGAGCACGCCATGGATTTTATATTGGACATGCTGAATGACCCGAAGAGCCACCAGAAGCACACACATCGGTAGGTCATTACTAGGACCTTCTGCGATCTTTTCATAGATATGGTGCCCGAGGTATGCAGCATCAGTCATCCTTTGGGTGTCCACGTTCTCATTCTAGTCTGTGTATGATCAGCAAGGGCACTGCATTCCAGAGGGTACAATAGACTATGGGCGCCATTGGTAAGGTGTTACTTCGCGATGTACATCGCTTCACTAAGCGCACTTTCCAGGATTCTTTCTCGCGATCCTATGGCCTTCCCGGATCCTGAAGTTTTCAATCCTCAGCGTTGGCTTGATTCAGAAGGCTGCCTTAAGGACAATATAAAATTCATCGTATATGGCTTTGGTAGACGGTAAGTCGTGCCTACATTATTTGACACAGATCGATGAGGTTCACGTGTCATTTAAAGTGTATGTCCTGGCATGCACCTCGCAAACCAGTCATTGTACATTGCCATCGCATTTCTTTTGTGGTCTTTCCGCATTGCTCAACGACCTGACTCCCCGATCGACACACGCCTTCAGTGACATGATTATTTCTCATGCAGCGCCGTTTGAAATTGATGTTATTCCCCGGATAAAAGTTGCGAAGCTGAGAGAGATGATGACGACCGATGAGCGTATGAATTGAAGATATCATATAGGAATTTGTCTTTGATGCCCTCGCTTTTCCCTTTTTTTTCCGAGGACCGCATCTTGAGGAAAATTTCTCCTTCAAAAATGTATAATCAATCTGAGTTCTGTATAATCATTGAATCAAGTAGAAATCCCTTCTATCCATGTACTGTATCTTAGTCTACCACAAGCGGCAAGAGAGGGGCCTGCACCCATTTGATGCCATGACCATGCCTTGCATCACCATGATTGGGACGCGCCCCACCTTCTACTTGGTGCCCGTCACCAAAGGGCTGAGCGATGCAGTCATTTCCTATCAATATCCGTCAGCTAGGACTGAGGTGTTGAAATGCGAGGTCGCTAGTGACCACAATGGAGGCATGCATGGAGGCACCGGAATACAGGGGCATCGCCTTGCAGTATTATGTTGCATTCAAATCCCTTGCGAAAAGCCACTGGGAGAAGTTTCTTCGTTAAAATCTGAGATATGAATCACTTATAAGTTTGAAACACACGACGTGTACGACTTGTAACATTATTCGAATATCGAAACAGAATCAAAATCAAAAACTTTCACAATTGGCACGCCTGAGAAAACTTGTAGTCATAATCTAACCTCAAGTTGCACGTGCACACGACCATGTCCATGCGACAAACTTGAACGTTATAACAGAACGGGCCCAAAGCGATCCATCACCATCATAATGGTGAGGGTAGACTCGCAGTTCACTGGACTGGGGGCACTCACAAGTCATGAACACTCTCGGCGTCAACACTCGCAAGCACGTGTTCGTCATGGTCGTAGGCGCCTAACCGACTTGCTGTGTACCACTACTTTGCTCTGTCTGCTCACCCAGACCCTTCCCAACTTCGCTAGCTTTACTTGGGATCTAATATAGGTATAACTTCTTCATGTCACAAGCATCAAACACCGACGATGCTGAGAATCAGCTCACTCGCAACGATGAGCAGCCTCCCCCGCAAATTGACGCCGTAGGACCCATCGAAGAGTAAGTTGCAGCTTCCTGGAATCTGTCACCTGTCTAACAGCAAGATAGGGAGAAGATAAATATTGAACCTTTGGCAGAGCTGCCACCAGGTATGTAAGTGTCTCTCTTCCCAATGGGCGTCTGCGCCACTTCTTACCAGAACTGCAGTTCGAATGCTGGGCCTTCACAGCCGTCAGAACCTCACGTACAAGGAAGCACATCTAATATTCCACCAGTCGGCGATTTAGCCTCGTGAGTTCTTGTCAACAATGACGTCAAACATGCTCCTGAATTGTCTCAGCGAGGGGGGAAAGGTCGTGGCGGACAAGGACAAGCCACCTCTAAGCGAATTGTAAGCGAAAAAATAAGTCAAGCAATCGCATCTGACGACATTGTACACGCAGAGAAAAAGTCATGAAGCAAGTATTGGACATTCTCCAGGACTCCACGATTGCGTCGAAGATTGGAAAGGACAAACGGTCTCGTTTCTGGGGGGTGTACAAACGAGTCGCAGAGGAACACGACAGTGAGTTCCTTGAGCGATACACTACTGACATGGACATTGTCTTGATCTTCGTAAGTTTAGCGTTCTTATCTTCGGCGCATTGAGACTGATGTTTGATCAGTCTGGTCTTTTCTCGGCTGTCAGCACGGGTTTCATCGTCGCGATGGAGTCCAATCTCAATCCCAACCCCAGCGACACGACGAATGCCCTTTTGAAGCAACTCGTGCAGATCGGACTCGGCAACCTCGCTCAGGTGGGCACCGCTCCCGCAGACCCGGGATCTACGTGGTCGCCATCTGCGTCGGCTGTGAGGATCCAGTTGGTCGCATATGCAAGCTTGTCCATGAGCTTGCTTGCTGCATTCGGGGCCGTACTAGGCAAACAGTGGCTCGGGTACTACAAATCGAACAGATATGGCCGCGGCTCGGAGGAGGAACGAGGCAAGCGCAGGCAAGAGAAGTTTGACGGCATCGTCACATGGTATTTCGATGCTGTCGTGCAATGTTTTCCTGTCATACTTCAGATCTCACTTCTTCTCTTTGGAATTGCTCTCGGCGCCAATATGTGGTACGACCAGCGGAGCATTGCCTGGGTCATCATCGCAACGACGGTCTTCGGATTTCTGTTCTATTCCCTGACGGTGATGGCATGTTTGATGTCTCCTGCTTGTCCATTCCAGACACCAACATCGACGATGTTGCGCATGTTGCGCATCGACAGTAAGATCATTTTGCTGAATTGTGGTGGTCATTCCCCGTCTGAATGAACATGACAGGGGTTCTACGCCTGGTGTTCAAACGAGCCTCCAGTTATTTCCAGCAGCTCACGAAGTCGCTGCACAGTGAGTTATGTCTTCTTCTATGTGCACAGGTTTTGACTGTTCCATCTCAGGCGTGCTGGAACGATTGCTCGACATTGTCAGGTCAGGATGGACCCGATTGTCTGAGGTATCTAGAGGTGACAATCTTACCTACTATCACAAAGATACTCAGTGCTCATTCACTCTCTAGGCCCTGTACATGCGATCGGCACATCTGCACGACGATCCCTTCAGCACTTAACCACTAGTTTTCATGACTGGCTGCGGTTTGTTCCGCGCTTTTCCACAAAGGTCGCAGACTCGGAAGCACAATTGCTATTGCTTGGACCGAATTTCGATGTTTCGTCGGGCAATGACCATATTCTCGCCCTCCCTGACATACCTACCAGCAATCTGGAAGCACCTAGCGTCAAGTGGCTGCTCGAGACCTCTACGGATCCTGAAGTATTTCTTGCAGCTGCCAGCCTTGTTCCGCAGGTCGAATGGCCCCTAGATCTTGACGTCTCAGACATGCTGCATCAGCTGTATGATATTTATACGAGCTGCGTCGGCTTCCATGGTCAAATTATGCCGTCGTTGGAGGAAAAGGCCTCAGCTTGTTTAATGGCTATGGGTCATTTATATTGTGGCCGCGTTCTCCAGGCGCATCCCACCCGTGGCGAATTTCTTGGTTGCAACAAAAGAGATGATGTCACGTTTCGTCAGATGACTATAAGGGACATGGATAGAGCCGACATGACGGTGCTTGCCACGACTAGGAATCTTTGTTTTCCGCAAGATGAAGATCGCAGATATCTGTGGTTTTCGTTGTATGATTGTCCCAGCTCTGTGGTGGAGTGGCTGTCACATTCGCTTCCTTACCACTTTTTCACTGGGCGAACGAATGAAAAAGTGGAAATATTCGCCATAGAGGTGATATCAAAACTGCTATCATCTACATCCTCTCCATCGAATCAAATCATGGCCAATTGCGCTCTTCTTGCTTGCGTCATGATCGGGGTTCAGTTTGACAAGAAGGACATAGTTCGGATTGATAAAAGGTGCCATCGACTATTTGGTGCTTCTACTATGGCTAACGAAGAGATTGTGTAGTTCTGCCCTGCCTCGATTTGCGAATGCCCTTTTGGAGCAATTCCAAACCACTCTCTGGACATGGTATGGAGGTGATCTCAGCGAGGACAACACAGGCGCAGCACCGAGTTGGGCATGGAACTTCATCAAAGTCATTTGTCTTGTGCTCGAGTCTGCCAAAAATTACCACCATCTTTCATTGCACGCCATGCGGAACCTAGACGTGTGCAGGAAAATTTACTCACGAGTGAGATCATCCGAACAAAATTTTCCCTGGGAATTGTTGGGTGCTCTGCAAAATGCACTGCGCTTCATGCTCGCCGCTGCCAAAGTATCTCGGGACCCTGCCGACTTGTGGAATAGCCAGTATTTTTGGATAGGTGATTCCCATTCGCCAGAAGACTTTGAGTGGCTGGTCGAGTACATTGATCCCGACAACCAGGAAGCAGTATTCGACATCCTTTTACTCCTGGTTGTCATAGAAGTACGCTGCAGCCCTGCTAAACGGCATCAGTTCTTCAAAAGTATCATCGCCTGCATGGGTAGTCACATGCCTGCCCACTTGCGTCATGCTGCTCTTCGCCTTGCCCACAGTGCCCGAGAAGAAATGGTCTCGATCGATACCATTGATAATGCGGAGCTGCGGGACATGATCTTGACCGAGTTCTCCCCCGCTATCCTGACTGCAATTTCTCCGCAACCAGGTATAACACTCTCCGATGATGATCCTGACTGCTTCTTCCATGAAGATCGCGACTTGTGCTATCTCGAACTGCTCTTTGCCCTCGCGAGGAATTCCAACTGGCACCCCCATTTGTTTGAGGATCGCCATATAGATCGATGCATTAGCATTGTTGCCAAGGGTAACTTCGCGGAATATGCATTTTACCTAGCTGGCATCCTCCTCCGCATCGCACCTGAACAGTCGTCGGTTATATCCCTCAATTCTATTACAGGGGAGCAGTGGTGGGACATGATGAGAGATGCATGGCTCCATGCCAGCTTCACAACTGACGACATACACTGTTTCGAGTTCCTTCCCGTCCTTGTGGAAGGCACGAAGAGGTATATGCACATTGCTGCACAGAAGTATATCAGTTGGGAAATCCATTTCAAGTTCTTCATTGAACATGTGGATCGTGTTCTTGATGCACTAGAGATGCGAGATTCACAGCAGGGAGAAGGAGAGGGTGTCGCCGTTGCTGTGAAAGAGCTGAAGACTGTTGCCAGCGATATGCTTGAGAAGTTGGTCAGCAGTCAAGGAGTTGTTAGTCCCTTATTATCATAGCATTTGCGTGTTGTGCTAGCGTCCTGGGAAGGGATGGAGCAATACAACTGCTAGGGAATAAGTATCGCGACTGAAAGGACATTGATATTCAATACCAGGACGCGCCTTCGATCTTCTTTTCGACGACAAATTGTATTTACAGTAGCAAGTGAGGAAATTAGGCTCGTGACCAGCCTGGCCTAATACTACCACGGTTACACGAGTGGTGTAGCCAGGCTGGTCGATCTCGGAGTGGCGTGGCAGGGCGGAGCGAGGAGTTTGAAATTTGATAGATGCCGGTCGTGCCGGTGGTAGTTACGATCATATAGCACAAGTTATGCGTCTGCTCTCGCTCAGACTGTACGCTGTGTTAAGTTTCCACCATGAGTTCTGTACGACCTTTATCACTTGCTGCTCGAGATACAATTGAGAATCTCCCAACGGACTTTACGGGGGCCCTCTCAACGACACAACACCAGCAAGTTCTCGAGGCTTTCTCGCGACTCGATCTTCTTTCCCAAGGATCACAACGTCCGAAATTGTTCCAGCTCAGATGCCTCATATCATTACTTTCCGCGAGACACGTTGTACTTCGAGCTGCGACAGGCTCTGGAAAGACCCTTGCTATGATTCTCCCTTGTCAACGATGTATCGAGATCAAATGAGAGGAGTAGTTCGGGGGTGATGTCTTTTGATGACATGCGAAAAATGTTCTTAGCGGCCTCCATCTCAGCATCAACCTCATCAATGACCATTGCAATAGCAAGGGGTCGTAAACTGACGTGAAGTTGCTCGCTCGTCCGTGTCCAACACATTCAGAAATTGCACAAGTGCCTTGCTTCGAAAGAAACCTTCTCTCCAAGTTGCCATGGAGGGTCTTTCCGAGATTGAATACAACATGAGGTCCATGACTGTCATCCGCAATCCACGAAGTATTTTGAGGACAGCGATAATTTTTCCTTCCTCGTCGAGGCTGGAAGGGTTGATCATCCAAGCCAAAGGTTCAGGCTGCTGATACATCATCACAGGTGGGTATAATGCATGAAATGGAATCATTTTGATTGTCCTAATCAATGATTAGTGCTCCGGCGCGATGTACTGTTGTATTTGAGAGGATACTGTACTTTTCACGGTACGAACGAAAGAGTGTGCGCTGTTGACAAGTAATGTTACCCAAACCGGCATACCGGCATCTGCCAAATTTCAAACTCCTCGCTTCGCCTGCCAAATCACTCCGAGATCGACCAGTCTGACTACGTCAATAAATTCTCACCATCTCAAATTGGTAGTACAACCAACCACATAAATGTATAAAGAGAACCAATTAGCCTTTGGAAGGTCGCAGATACCGATTGGACATGATCACGGCTCGATATATCAAGAGTGGCCGCTGATTAATGATTCCTCTCTGGTGGTCGTTTATGGCTGAGAAAGTTGGGTGCGGCAGGCTGGGTTGCATGCCTCGCGCTCGGAGCTTTCAGAGTGTTATTTGGAACAACAGGGTTTTTAAATGAGGAGTATATGATATTGAAAGAGTTTGTAACTGGTACCACCGGGGAAGTTTACAACGAACGCGGCGGACTTACTAGACAGCCTGGGGTGTATCCTAATCAATTATGCTGGGTCCGACTTGACCCACGTAATACTTTAAGCAGACGTTGCCACCACTCAACAGGAACACGCTGGCTTCCTGCTATTGGGTCTGCATATGCCTGGGAAGCTATAAGACCGACTCCCATGTGGCAGCGGGAATTTTTCATTTGTCACGAGAATGACTGATATCGCGACTGCCGAGTTTCTCAACGAATTAAAGTCTTTGTATCCTGCACAAGCCAAATATGTCGACAGTGGCTGGTACCTGGCCGCCGCAGTAGCATTCAGCTCGAGCAACCGCCCTGAAGCCGTCTCGTGTGTCTTCCGCCATGCTCTCGAGGATCTTGAAAAACTCCCTGACACCTCAGATGAAGATCGCAGGTTGCTCGTGCGGAAGATGAGGGAAGGTATCTTCAAATCTGTCTTGCTTTCAGGTTCTCCCAAAGTTAATATGCCATACTCGTTGACGTTTAATGATCTTACAACTTTTGTAGGTTATCTACGCTCTCATTTCGCTGTATGAAGCCACCCCCGAAGAGTTTCGAGACACTGAACCTATGCGGTCAGTGTGCAAGTTATCCTGAATCCTCTCTTCCTGACTTGTGAGCGGCGTGTGATAGCGACCTCACTCGATCGAAAGAGAAAGTTGCTGCTTCTGGTCAGGGATACTTTGATTTGCAATATGGTGATACCGCAGCGGAAATTCAGCTCATGCTTCGGTCCATCTACCCAGACCTCGGTATGTTTCAAAAGAGAAATACTTTTGAATCAGCTCCTGAATTCGATCACTAGAACATGTCATAACGACACTCGGGTACGGGTATGTGTATTCCTTCTTGGAAGTGATCTCATCCAAGGAGACGTCATTCGCCATTATTTCTGCATTGATCGCAACCGACATGCTCGGTCCGCTTGAACGACAGCTCACTGGCGCTGTTCGCAATGGTGCAACAGTTGAGGAGGTCAGAGGTGTACGGGAAATTGCACTGAGAATTGCGATGGCGGCGGGCGTCTTGAAACATGAAGTTCCTGATATTTGATACGGATCGAGTGTATATGGATTACACACGCTGGTTAGACATGGGGAAGTTCTCACCGATGGTGCTACAGCTCGATTCATCATTTGATACATGTAATTGTAGTTGCTCAGAATTTATAAGACGGATCATAATCGCTAGCGCCTATTTTCATTCTTGTAGTTCGACGTAATTTTCTGCGGGGCACGATCAGCCCATCTTCTCGAGACATACAACGAGTAAGAACATACCAGGGAACATTCCGATATCGCCCTGTGGATTCTTTCCTTGCCACCACCCTTCACCAACTGCCTCGATTTCAACAATCCTGTCACCCACAAGGAATGATATTTCATTGTCCTCGGCAGCTTCATAGCTGAAAAGAAAGGGGTTAGACCGTAAAGTCACTTTAAGAAACGGGCCTACTCGTAAAGAGCCACTGCTACAATGCCCTCGTCGGCAGCAGGGACCTCAGGTTCAGGTTCGGGAGCAGGCGGGGCTGCCGGCTATTTTTGCATGAGAACCAAAGTATGTCATTCAACCTTGGATTTACTCACAGCTGGCGGCGGCGGCGGTGGTGGTGGAGGAAGAGCATCTTCAGATTGCTCCACAATTTCCACATAATTTGCTATGATGCACTTGGTATACACCCGGTAAACTGTACAAATGAAACACTCACCAGGGAACAATCCGCTCTTCTCACCGCCTTGGCTAACACCACTCCACCAACCTTCGTCAATCTGTTCGATCTGCTCAATAAGTTCACCTTCCTCCAAGTTCATTTCATTATCTTCCGTAGCCTAGCATGGAAGATAGGATTCGTCAGATTTGTAAAGAACAAGATAGATTCAATCATTAACCTCGTATTGATACAGCACCACAGCACAGATACCCTGGCCCGCAGGAGCGGGCTCTGGCTCTGGCTCCACACTCAGCGCCTGCATCTGGGCTACAGGTGGCGGAGGAGGTGGCAGCTGCGGATATTATGAGTACTGAATCACTTGAAATCATTTTATGCTCACTCCCGCTTCCTCTTCTTCCAACTCGATGGGCGCAGATGCAAATGGTGGTGGTGGTGGTGGTGGCGGCGGCGGCGGTGGCGGCGGCTGTATATCGAATAAGTACTGAAGCACTTGATATCCTTTTATACTTACTCCCGTCTCCTCTTCTTCCAAGGGTGCAGGTGCAAATGGTGGTGGTGGTGGTGGCGGCGGCGGCGGCGGCGGCGGCGGAGCAGCCTCCTCCTCTTCTACTTCCGGCTCTGGTTCTGGCTCGGGAGGCGGCGGCGGCACAAATCGTGGACGTGTCGAAGTAGGGGGAGCCGGTGGGGGCTACAGTAGCAAATGTTAAACATGTGAGATTTCTCACCAATATCAACAAGTCTCACAGGAATCGCAAATTCTGCCCGAGGCTCAGGCTCTGTAGCACTTGCTAATGCAGCCCCAGTCGCACCGATAACTGCACCACCTACAGCTGCAGCAGCAACTGTGGCACCAAATCTTCCCTGTGTCTGACTGCTACTTAAGCCTGTAGATGCGGGGCTTTGCCATGAAGCCTGTTTACTTCGTTGCTCATCTAGCTCTGCTTGATTCTTCGCTAGAAGTTGGCGTTCGCTCCAGGTAAGTTTCTTTGGTCCACCAGCAATACCTTGGGGCGGAGGAGCTTGCTGCTGCTGTTGCTCAAATTGTGCAAACGGATTTTTCAACCTACCCGGTGTGAGTTTGACCGGGGTCCATGCGGTACCCTGATATACACATCACAAGAGAACACAGCTGTGAACAACGACACGCTTACTACTGGGGCAATACGATCTTCTTCTGCAGGTTTAACGGGAGCACTGGAGGAAAGGACGGCAGGCGAGGCAGTAGGAGCTGCAGGAGTAGAGCGTGCAGTAGTCGTGCCAGCATAAGACTGCAAATGCACGGTTAACCATGATTTGATATAAAAATCCCAGGCTTACAGAAAAAGCAGGCCTTGAAGCGCTGGGTATGGCCGGCGGACGTGAAACAGCAGGCGGAGGCGGCGAAGGCGTCGATACAGAAGGCGCTTCTTCTCCCCAAGCATCAGCGGGGGCTTTCCCTGTACCAGCAGGTCGTACAGAAGCAGCGCTACCAACAACAGGGCGCGGCGCAGTGGGTATCGCAGGCTTAGAGAACGACGATGTCGTAACAGGTCTCGATGCTGAAGGCGTGGACAATGAAACATTCCTCGGTGGCGGCTGCGCGTTGCGCATGGCAGTGATGTCGGGGCGCCCGACAGGCGTGTAGCTCGTACCTACAGGGGCAATCGGTTCGAACTTACGCGCCTGCTCGTTGTGCGCTGAGTACTTTGCCCCAGATGCAGCCTCGACACGCTTCATTATGAGCGCAGGGGCAACATCGGACTGCAGGAATACTAAGATGATTGATATACGATTATTCAGGCGCGGTACGGACCTCGTTGCGAGCACTGATCACAACATGAGAACCGCGAAGAAACTTCGCAACAGCGCTGGAATGAGTGTGGAATAGACCCTTCTTGGCTTCGGGTACACCATCTCCACACCAGTTGATTTGTACAAACTTGGCCAGTTTACTCTGAAGGAGACAAGATCGACTCATCAGGATTATGCCGAAGTGGACATGATGAAAGCATACATTAGGATCTATGACACGTGCGAATGCATACTGCATTCTGCATATAAATCAGAAGGGAAACTGAATAAAGAGACGATGTGCCCATACCGTCCATCTGAGAATTCTTCCTCTAGTTCCTGAAGCCCACCATTGCCAGTGGCCTGCACTTTGAGGTCATTTCCACCCTTGTCGTATGTATATATTACCCAATCTATGTTTCTGCCAGCAACGACATTTTGGTATGCCTCGCTGATCTCTTTGCTAGATAAGTTGACCTGCAAGGACATTGGAGCTGACTGAACAAATGAGGATTAAGCATCGCCTAACACACTGACGCGAAAGATCTTACCACTAGTATACTGATCAACGCAGCTCTTCGACCGTGAAGCTTTGAAGGACCAGTTTGTGATGAATTGGTGATGAAGGGACGTTTCAGGTTTC